CAGTGCTCTCTGAGCGCAGGCCCCTCCGGCAGGAAAAAAGAGGGCCCAGCTGGGGTCCAGGCCACCTCTGCCCCTTGACGCTGACATTGCAGTAGGAGCTAAGAGTTACTTGTCAGATTGGAGACGCTATCTTCTCGGTAGAGCAGCAGATTTTCCCAGGTCGTTGATTTCCTGGTAAAAATGGAAAATGTGGAAACATGGAAAAAGACAACATGAGCCAAAAGGATGCCTTTAAAACTTGGGGCTGACCCGGAAGTGCTCGAGGGGTGAACAGGGGTGAACAGCTGGCAGAGAGGCAGTGGTTTCCTAGTGCTGGTCCTAGCGCCACCCCTTCCCCACAGACCACTCCTAGCGCCCCCCAGGCTCCTAGCGCCAGGCCCCCCCATGGAACCCTCGGGGTTCCGCCCACTGGGAGGAGTCTCTCCAGAGGCCCACAGGGAGAGCATTGGCTGGGAGCATGCTGACCTACCTTTGTCCTCTGAGTCCCGGGAACTCTCTCTTGCTCTCCTTAAATTGTTTTCTGTGTTTGCGATCCAGCGTCTGCCGGTGTCCTGAGAGAGGAGCAGCAGCGCCCTCCACAGGTCTCGTCCCCCAAGATCCGCTGCGTCCACCCTTCGGCCCGTCACGTCCTGGCACTTCGGCGGGTGCCCGTGTGCTCCATGCAGATGGGACTGCGCCAGGAACTCAAACTGGTCACCTTGTAGGATCCAGCTTCTCTGGGACACTGCCGCTGAGCCACGAAGGCAGTCCTGTTAGGAAATCTCTTTATTTTATTGAACTGTATTTGCTTTTGATTATTTAATTTTAACTTTATTTATTTATTTAGAGACTGACAGACACAGAGACACAGAGAGAGAGGGAAAGTGAGAAAGCATTCCGCCAGGTCCAGGACTCGAACCGCGGTCGATCATGTGGAGTCTGGCGCCTTTAACCACCATGCCACTTGCCAGCTCCTGAACTGCGGTGGGCCTGTGGGAGTCCAGTGCCTTAGCCCATCTCTGCGATCGCTGAGGGAGGTGATAATGGTTAGGAATCCGGAGGTCAGAAACCCTGGTGCCAACCGCAGCGTAGGCTCACGTCCTGCAGTCGTTTATGAAATGCAAACTCGGGCAGCTTTCCTCTGCTGCCAGTCAGACTGTGACCTGTTACTCGCTGACAGCTGGAAAACTTTGTTTTGAGTATGGTACTTCTTATAAATGATTTTGTTCCAAAGGTTCACTTGAAAGATGCTTTTTGAATATTCTCACAGACATTACATATATATACACGGGGGGTCTTCAGAGAGTTTGTGGAAGATGCCTATCTTGAACAACTGTGCATGGCTTCCACGTTTTTTTGCTTTAATTACACTCTGCAAACCTTTTGAAGCCCTTCGTGTGTGAGGGGTCTGCACCCCTAGGACTCTCAGGCCATTTAAACTGTGCATTCCCAAGAGCCCTGCAGGCAGGTCTGGGGACAGGCTCAGGGCCTCTCCACTGTGACTGCCTGCTCCTTGCCTCTCCGGCTTGGCCCCTTCCCGGAGCACTGGACCCCCGTGATGGCTGAGAGGTGCAGGACTCTCCCCCAGCCTGACTGGCAGAGAGCCGGGCATTCTATTGCTGGAGACAGAGACTCTTTGCTTGGCCACACTTTAGTGAGGCTTCTGAACCTCTGCCAGGCCAGTCCACGGACCTCCATGTGAAATCCAGTTTAACAAGGCCCTCTGCTAAGTCGGGTTAGCAAGAACTCTGTCTTCAATTCTCTTGTTTAGTTATTTAATTTGGAACTTTATTAAGGCATTATACCCCTCTGTTACCTGTGTTTTAAACTCCGAGAGATATCATATAAGACAACTGGTTAAAATCTATTTTAAGGGATCAGCAGGTGGTGTAGTGGTTGAGGCACTGGATACCCACATGGTTGACTGCAGTTTGAGTCCTGGACCCACTGACTTGAAACTCAGTTTGAGTCCCGGACCTAGTGGCTTGAAGCTGGGCTCATGTGTGTGTGTGCTTGGTATCTTGAGAGGAGATTGGAGGAGGAGGGATTCCAGCATGGCCATTGTCCCTGGGGGAATGAGTTCTCACTTTCTACCTCTCATTGTCTCTTCTGAGAGCACACATGCCCCATAGCAAAAGTCTCTGAAACACACACACACACACACACACACACACACTCACACACAATTTTTATATTTAGTGACTACCAGAATTTGCTTCAGTTTTCTTAAGAAAAGAATGTATTCAGTTTTCATTGTTAATTAGATTGTAAAGGTTCTTATGTTAATAAGTAACATAAGTTATAAAAAGAATATTCCTAAGAAACTTTCTGTTTTAAGTGTTTAGTTGAGAATCATTGGTTATTGTTTAACACATCTATCAAATAAAATGGAATAAAAAGTTACATGGTAAAGCATAGATTAACAAATATGCTCTTGCTTAAATATTGTATAATTCAGTTTAACTGACATGCTTTAATTAGGTATTGCCCTTCCTCCTTTTTCTCCTAATGTTTAAGCTCTCTAAAGAGAGAGATACAGAGAGAAGGGCCAGGCAGTTGGTTGGTGGTTAAAGCTTTTGAGTGCATTTCAAGTTCTGCATTTGGTGGCTTGAAAAACATCCTAAGCACATGTGCATGTGTGCCCAAAATCCCAGGAGAACGGAGAAGTTGCACCATGGCCATCCTCCTGGGGATGTTTTCCCACTTCCCACCATGCTCGCTCTCTCTGCTCCTCTCCAGTGAGCGCGCGTGCGCTGAAACAAATAAACAATCATACTTTTTAAAGATACAGAGAGAGAAGAAGAGGGAGAAAACACTCCCAATGGGCATGGTCATGCCACAGCCCCTTCTCCATTTCTCCTTCCTGTCACACTCACACATACACACGACCAGTGTGTTTTTCAAGCCACCAGGGCCAGGATTCAGACCATGTGGTCAGCCATGTGGGAACCAGCTTCCTTAACCACCAGGCTACAGGGCTGGCCCAACTAGCTTTTTGTTTAGAGAGAATGCCGCTAATCCGAACAGGTTCAGTTTGGCCTTCCCTCATGCTGCACACCCTCCAGGTTTTCAGCATTTCCTAGGTTATAGTTGCAGTCTGGTGGTCTTGAGTAACAGCCCTGGATGATATTTAGAGATAGTGTTTCATGAGCAGAAAACGTCTTTGCCCATTGTTGGATTTTTAATTGACCTGACAGAAGAAAGGCTATCTTTTTCTTCTTCGGTTTTAATTTGCTGGAGGGTACACACACTCACCAGAAAGAGACAGAGAGAAAAAGTGAGAAAGCACCCAGCAATCCCTTCTCCTCCTCCCCTCCTGTAGGGATTCTGGGCGTGCATGGATATGCATCTGGCATGTTCTTCGAGCCCCTGGGTCCGGAACACCAACCGCAGTCGGCCGTGTGGGCTCCAGCTGCCCTAACTACTGCACAACCAGCTGGCTCAAAGGCTGCGTCTCTAAGCTGGGTTATTTCAGTTCTAGTTAACTAGTTCCAAAAATACATAATTCTTTTTTTTTTTTTAAGAGAGATTTTTGCTATAAGGCACATGTGTTTGCCAGAGGGTCAGAGAGAGACAGAGAGACCAGGGGGATGGCCACACTGCAGTCCCTTCTCCATTCTCCTCTCAGGATCTTGGGCACGCACACATTGCACACATGCCTGGCATGAGTTTAAGCTGACGGGTCCAGGACTCAAACCGCGGTCATCTATGTGGGAGTTTAGCAACGTAAACATGCCATCTCCTGGTCCCCCTAGGATGCCTCATTCCGACAGCTGGTCTGGGAACTTGGGGACCTAACCAGTTCTGCGACCTTGGACCTGGCGCCTCCGTTCTGTCACCTGTGGAGTGGAGGTTGGAGACTGATTCCTGAAGCCCCTGCTTTTGTGCCAAAACCCGGCTCTAAGTTGTCTGAGTCCATTCTAGTACCCACGTCACTTACAAAATAGTGCAAAGGTGTCCCCTTCCCTCCTTCTTCGTCCTCAGTGTTGTGCTTTGGAGAATATGTATGAGACCTTCGGGAGTGTTGCAAGTCGGGCTGTCGTTAGCGTACATTGAACTCGGGGAGAACCACCAACCGCTCTGTGTGGTATGTCCTGGCTCAGCCAAACGTAGCGAGCACTTAGTGTTCTATACATCGATGTCTTCCGTCCTCACAGGAAGCCTGTGGCCCTCCCTCTTGGCACACAGTAACGCTTCTGAAAACATCCTTTCTCTGGCACTGTCTCTACTACTGTCGTGAGTAAGGAACTTAGACTACCAGCTGGTATTATTTAAAAAGGGAATTTGCCAGGACTTTTGGCATTTGGTAAAAGATGAGGGATTAAGTCTTGGGTATAGGGTTTGATGAGGGAAAATTATGCTTTCTAATCAGGGTATAAGAATAAAGTTTACCATGACAAATTTTTCTTGTCTTATTTCACTTTTTTTCTGTGGAAGCCGTAGGGCAAGTTAGGGCAGAAAATATAGGCCCCTTCCCCTTTATTGTCAGTGCTTCTGCACGCCACTGCAGGTCCCCAGGGCTTCCTGGCAGGCTGTCAAGGCAGTGACCACGGTCCCCCACCAGATGGCACTCTCCCCCGGTGTGCGTGTGCCCCTGGTAGGGCGGTTAGCTAGAGCCCTCCCTGCAGCCCTTAGGGAGGGAAGCGGTCTGGCCCCTAGCAGCTCTGTGTGGACATTGTGGCAGTGCCTTGCTGGCCTGGCTTGGCTCACCCGATGCCCGATCTGCTCTTTGAGGCCTTTACTCTCACCGTGGGCACAGTACCGACGGTGTGCCCGGCAGTGCAGAGCGGATTCAGGTGTGAGCACACCAATGAGCAAGCAGGTTAACAAAGTTTGTCTACTTTGCCAGAGAGTGTGCAAGGGAGAATGAGCATGCAGCGTGCTCGCCACCCGCGCGGCTCCTCCTCCCCGCTCTCTGGGCCTCAGCATAGTGGGCGCGGGGCCAGGAGCCCGCTCTCCAGCCAGCAAGGCCTCGGTC